CCTCTCGCGGCACAGACACCCGGTCTGCCGGGTCCTTGGAGGTGCTTGGCCCCTCCTCTTCTTGGTTGCTGAAGCCTTCATTGGAGTGGCATGCTGGATTGGAAGCCAGGCCAGTGGGGGAGGAGGAGGCTCCCTGAGGACTTCCGGGAGGACTCGGTGTCACAGCAGCTGGCACCTCCTCCAGGGTGCCCGGGGTCACAGTAGAAGAGGAGGCAGACGCCCCCTCCTCCTTAGCCCCTGGAGCCTGTGCCCCCACCAGGCCCTGTGCCTCTCTTTGGGTCTGAAAGCCTTCCTGAACCCTGCGATGCTGACTCTTGTGACAGTGATGGTGGCAGCAAGGCATGATGGCTCTGGTTGGGAAGCAAGCAGGAATGTGGGCAGGAGCTGGGCAATGGGGACCCACAGGCCTGGGGAGAGAGGGACTGTGTAAGTGGCATCAGTGAGAACCACACCCTGGAGGATCTAACAAAGATCAACCTATAGGCTTTCTCTTTAGGTGATGCTCTGGGGCCTCCAAGAGCTCCTGTCCTCATGGTGGGCCTGTCCCCCTAGCACTTGACGGAGGAAGCAACAGACGGATAGAGCTCAAGGCTCTAGGGCTCACAGTGGGTGGGTCGGGCCGGGCACCATGGGGTTCCCTCTGTCCTCAGGTGGATGGTCTCTACTGTGATCACTCAAGCCCCTCACCTTTTGCCTGGCAGGCCCTAGACCAGACATCTTGCTGTCCTGAGAAACTGTCAGAATAAGAGCTCGAATTTCTAATACAGAGCAAAAGGCAGTGTGTGAGCCAGACATCTGGCCACATCTGCCCGCATCGTCCCAAAGAGGACAGTAAGCTTGAGTGGGGTCTATGTGTCCTGGGGGAGGAGCTTGCCCGGTCCTCACCTTGATGCCTGGCAAAGCCTGGGAGGGAGGGTGGACCTCAGGCCACCTCCTTAAACCAAGGCCCTGTCTCCACCAAACAGCAGAAGAAGAAATGAGGGGAGGTCACCCACCCACTGTTCCCTGTGTCTTTCCCAAGCTGACAGGAGGGGCAGGGCAGGGCTGGGTCTTGTGTGTTGGGTGAGTAGGGTCCCCTGAGTCCTGACCCTGACTCCCGGCAGGGTCTTGGGTCCTGCCTCTGCTGACCTGAGTGCAGCCTACTCAGACGGTGGCCTTCACCTCCCTGAGACCATTGATCCAGATATGAGATAGGGGACCTCAGCCTGATAGCCCTGCACAGGCATTTCGGGGCTCTCAACAGAGCAGGGGTGGATTTCTGTGGGGCCCTGTCTGTGTTGTGGGCTGGGGGTGCACAATCCTCCCTCAGGGTCCTCACTTTGACTCTCTGCAGATTCTGGGATCACTGTGTCTGTTGACCAGATGGAGTTGACTGTGTTGACCTGATGTCACCCTCTCAGAACAAGTTACTCTTCTCCCTGGGAGCCCAGAAACAAAAATGAGGAGGTGCCATATCCCTTCACACCTGCATGGGGTCTCAGGGGCGAACAACAGGGGCTGGCCCATTTGTTCTGGGGTGGGGGCTCCCAAAGTCCTCCTCTAGGGTCATGCCCTCCTCACCCCATCCTGCCTGACATGGGAAGACATCCCCCCTTTAGAACAAGACCTCATCTTTAGAACAAGACCTCATCTCCCTGAGGATTCCCCAACTTCCTTCCCTGGTAGAAGTGTACTGGCCACTTAGGGTCGCCCCTGATGGGATCCAAGACAGCTGGAGTCTTCTGGGTCCCTATTATCTGGGCTGGGGGTACCTTCAGTCCCCACCGGGTGCACACCCCGGGTCTGGAAGATCCTGGGACTCCTCCCTCTGCTGGCTGGCCTCACCCCTCGGACCAAGGTGCTCAACTTCCTGAGACCCCCCATCCCCGACCACGAGGCAGAAAAGAGCAATGCCACATGCCACCCCTGTAGGGGGCCTCCCGGGGTGGAAAATAGGGAAGCCAGGCTCTGTGCAGGCCCCCTTCTTGCGAGTCGGGGGGTACCTCATGCCTTTAATCCTCACCAATGTTCTTCCGATGATTCCTCCCAGATCCTAGACTCCTCCCTCCGCTGAGGTAACAACTCCATTGAGACCTAGGCCCTCCTGTCGCTGTGACCCCAAAGAAAGAAGCAACGACGCACCACATCTGGCCACCCTGCAAAGGGCCGAGGTCCCCCTCTGTGCTGGAGTGTAAGGTACACACTGTCCTCCCTCTGTGTCTTCCCCTTGACCTCGGCAGGGCCTGGGCCCACAC